ACTGCAAGCAGAAATAGAAATAAAATCTAAGAATTGATCGCTTGCAGTTGAATTGTTTTCCCATGAGATATTTGAGATTCTCTAAAGCCGTTTACCACAGATGCCATTTAAAAGTTCAATACTAACCAACTAAAACATATATATGCTATATATAAGCCTTAAAATACAATCCATTTCATTTCCTACTCCAACTTTTTCCAAAAACCAAATATCGCTCCCTCAATTCAGATAAAGGTGGCTTCCAACAAACCTTGCATGTTATTTATGGACAGAATCCTTAGAGAGCAATAATTTAAATGAAAGTTTTTTTTTTTCGTTGATCACCTTGAAAGAAACTTCCTGAAAGGTGATGAAAATTGGTATATACTGGTTATTCAAATACTAATAGATTTATTCTGATAATAAATAAATTCGCATAACATTTGACCTAGAAACTCTGAATTTTGAACTTTTTTTCATCTAAATAAGAACAAGAAATACCTAGCTGGAAATGGAAGATGAACATAATGATTATGAACATATATATATATATATTTTTTACTGATTTATTTTCTCGGAAAGACTTTTTAATTGTTCAAAAGTTCGAATTCACTGAATTATTGCTGCATCAATTTCGTGTGTGTGTGTGTGTGTGTGTCTGTATTGAATGAACGAATGAATGAACGAATGAATGAACGAATGAATGAACGAATGAACGAATGAATGAATGAATGAATGAATGAATGAATGAATGAATGAATGAATGAATGAATGAATGAATGAATGAATGAATGAATGAATGAATGAATGAATGAATGAATGAATGAATGAATGAATGAATGAATGAATGAATGAATGAATGAATGAATGAATGAATGAATGAATGAATGAATGAATGAATGAATGAATGAATGAATGAATGAATGAATGAATGAATGAATGAAATGAATGAATGAATGAATGAATGAATGAAATGAATGAATGTGAATGTGAAAATGAATATGAATGAATGATAATATGAATGAATGATGAATGAAATGATGAAATGATGATGAATGAATGAATGAATGAATGAATGATGAATGATGATGAATGATGAATGAATGGATGAATGAATGAATGAATGAATGATGAATGAATGAAATATGAATGAAATGAATGAAATGAATGATGAATGAAATGAATGAATGATGAAGAATGAATGAATGATGAATGAATGAATGAATGAATGAATGAATGAATGAATGAATGAATGAAATGAAATGAATGAATGAATGAATGAATGAATGAATGAATGAATGAAATGATGAATGAATGAATGAATGAATGAATGAATGAATGAATGAATGAATGATGAATGAATGAATGAATGAATGAATGAATGAATGAATGAATGAATGAATGAATGAATGAATGAATGAATGAATGAATGAATGAATGAATGAATGAATGAATGAATGAATGAATGAATGAATGAATGAATGAATGAATGAATGAATGAATGAATGAATGAATGAATGGAGTATTTCAATCTCTAAGAAATTACAGAAAAATTTCTCATTATTTTATTTGCATTCGAATTGAATACAAAATCTCAAACAATCTCCCTTACACAGTAAAAAACTATTTTAACAATTATTTAAATTGCAACCCGTCCATTAACCAACAGACATTCTCATATGAATCCACACTCATTATTTCTCTTTGATTTATGAATAATTTGTGTGAAATACTCAACACCAAAGAATTCAAATCATTAGAACCGACATAATCTATTGCCAAACACATCAGAAATATGCTTTATTTATTGCCTAAACTTAAAAAGATATATGGTATGGAAATAAGTATTTTCAATTACTGACAACAAATATTTTTTGATTGAACTAATTTTGTGATACTTTCAATTTATATATAAAGTATTTTTCAGACATACAAATGACGAGTTTCCAAATAAGTCTTTCAGGCACTGGAAGAGAGTGAGAATAACTTGTTTGTTCAAATATTAACTTTAAAAAATGAACTTAAATTTTCAAACATTGAAGATAAAACTTTATAAAATAATTATAATGTAAGACATAAAATAATTATAATGTAAGACACCTTTTCCTACATAAAAACAATTCCACACACAAATTTTTAAAAATAGAATAAATCAAAGTCGACCAGCATAAAAGATTATTTGCACTTACCTTAGCAAAATCCAATTTTTCACCAAAAAAAGTGGAGAAATTCAAAAATATGATTATTTCTAAAATACGCAAGTTTCAAGAAAAAAAGCATGATTTTGGAACGTAACAACAGGACAACAAAGATCAATTATGTTATTTGCTATATTTAATTAAATTTTCGAAATACTCGTAAACGTTTAAATAATCAAAATTGAATGTTTACCAGTCATCGTGAAGATACCTACTAAAGTACCAATATTTCGGCCTGCCAGCATAACCTCTTCAGTTTGCTCACCATCAATGGACATTGAGTTGACATCTTTCGCTTTTCGGCCAGCCCAAATGCCGACAACAAGAATCAGCAGGTAAAAGAATACAATAGCTACAACGCCCAAGTAATCAATCATTTTTTTAATTTAGTGTTGATAATCAGGAACACTACTAGCTTGATGTGATTTTTTCATTTTTCCTGGCACAGATTTCTTTTCGGATTCTAAAACTGATTTATCGTAAGTCCAGATAATAGATTTAACAATCGAATTCATTCATATTTTTAAAGAGAAGAACTATCAAACAAATTACTCCTGAAACTAATTCACCATTTATAAATGAGCAAGCAATGATTCAAAAATCACGGAAATACAAAACGTCTGAAAATTATTGAAACTGTGTTTGATAAATCATCTGCTAATGTAAGCTATTTCAATAACTGCAAGCTTGCAACTCTAAATTTCCCCAGCTTTTTTAATTGGGAAAAAATGGTGTTTTTGAACTGGTTCAATTTCGTCTTCAGTATGCCTAATTTGCACTTAGCATACACACATACAATTAATTTATATTCCTCTTATACTCAAGAAAATTGAAGTTAGCGTGATGTCACTCTATAAACATTTAAAGGCAAACAATCAGTTCTATTGAAACCCGCCTTTTATTAGCTTCAAAACCTTTTTATTCAACATAGTTAAAGCACACGGATTTGTTAAATTTATGATTATCCATGCCTCTTTTTAAGTTTGAAAAAAGGAAGACATAAAGGATAGTTCTGAACTCATTAAAAAGTCCGTAATTGTTGTCAAAATAATTACTGCCTAACAATTTGATATTCACGTTCCAAAAATTGAAGATAGAAAAATATCCCTTCGTCCTCCGTTTTCTCTCTCTTGTTTGAAGAAAAAAATCACATTTTAGTCTTAAAATATTGAAATTCAACAAACAGTATTAACCATCAACTATTTTAATAGTAGACATTTAAAGGAATGCCGTATCCATTGCTTTTAACAAAACTTTTCAATTCTACAACAGCATACATCATGAACTTATTAAAATCTAAAACATAATTTGTCAGATTATGTCGTAATGTGCCAAATGATAGTTGACAACATTGATGAGTATGTTATTTATAATAAATAAAAGTTTTTATCTCAATTTGCACAAAGCAACAACATTTAGTCATTGAGGAACTAATCTTTTATATATGAAAAAAGGTAATTAAATTCTACAAGTTAAAGACAAAACGAATAAATATTGTTTCGATTCTCATGTAAAATGTTTACATGAATTTGAATGGTATATGAGACCATTTCGTTCCTTCGACGATGAAAAATGATAATGGCTTAGGATAAACAATTCATACCGAAAGGGAAATTGATCAGTTGCTTGGATACATGATAAAAAGAAATCGACGAAGAGAAATTTCTGAATTATGTGTTTAGAAACAAATGAAAATTTTCTGTTTACTGAATAGTATAAGCTGAAAAACATGGATGTAATTAGTTTGATTCAAGCATTTCTTTGTCTTTTTTTCTTGCTAAATCGTCACTACGCAACTTTCAGAAAAATTTGAAGCATATATTTCTTGTTTTTTTTTTTTTTTTTTTTCGAACATATGAAAATATTTGGGAAAATAAATGCAATAATGTAATGTTACTGGTTTTGTGTAAAATTTCGAGCCTTTGCAGTACGAATGAAGAAAGAACCTGAAATGCTTTGAGAATTCACTGGAAATTCAGTAAGAGAACTTGGAGGATTGAAATTCATGGGAATTTTTAGATTAGCATTTGCAATTATATAAAATGTAGTGTAGTTGAAAATATTCGTTCAATTTTTCACGCAATACTATTATTGCCAAAGAACAATTGAAGTATTAAAAGGAACAAAAGGAGAAGTGACAGTGATTGACTGAATCTTTAAATCTGAATAAGCTTTAGGAAGGAATGAAATGATTGTTCTATTTAAGGTACAGAGATATTTTTATGGCAATATGATGAATGCTCATTGAAATATTGAGAGTTGGGTGAACAAAATCGGTGAGTGAAAAATTTCTGGAATGACTTAGGGAAGGAAGATGGTATATGATGGAGGTAAATGAAATATTCATCGCGTCGTGTCCATTGATGCTCTAACTGAAGGCACGCTTCTACATCCCAAAGAAAAGGGACTCTAATGAGGTGAAGCTTGAGCTTAGTCCTTCCAAAGCACAGCTCCGCCTTCTGCCTTTTATTTAGCTCTTCTTTCTTTCCCTCATTTTTTCTATCGTGAATCTCATCCACTGTCCAGTTAGTTATTCATATCCCTCCTATATATAAATTTCAAAGTAGCACTGACCAGATCAGATAATAATGAAAAATAGTGCACTCATGTACCATACACAAGTGGATAAGCACTAAAACGCTCAAAAGAAGTAGGTGTTTTATTTTATGAAAGAGGGTGGGGACGGAGTTCAAATTCCTATTTCGAGCACTCACTTTTTGGCGGTACAAATTATTCAAATCTGTACCTTCCTGGAAGTCATTCACAGGGAGAAAACATGATCCAGTGCCAACACCATTTTTTGGATATTTACTTGGATAAAATATGGAAATTATAAAATTCAGAGAATGCAAAGAATTAAGTAGTAACGGATCGGAGGAGAGGAAGAAAAATCTGTGTGCAGTAGGCGTAAGATGTGGCAAGCCCCAAGCAGCAAGGAAAAGGAGAAAATGCCTCAGCGATGATGTATCCCTTTTGGCTATTCCAATTCAATTATTCCATTCAATTCAACATTTTAAAATGCTTCTTCTAAGCTGAGTTGTTTACCACTTTAAAAAAAAAACCATTCTTTACCGCTAGTTGAGAACTTCTATCAGTTTCTAGTCAATGATTTAAGTAAATAATTTGCCATCCTAACTCATCTCAACCTTTCCTTAAAGTCTTCCTCAATTTTAGGAAAAACAAACTGAATTTCGCCTTACTCCATTAAGAAATTCTGGCCTTCATGAGTTGTGTTAACGAATTCAACAAATGGCGCTCTACAATCTCATTTCCTTTTTTATCAAACTCATCAAGTATTAACCATCTTAATCAGCCTCTTCCCATCGTTATATTCAAGCCTTATACATCGATACACAGTTCACTTCATCGATTTCTTTAAATTTTTGTCAGCAGATGGTTATGTAATGCTCATAGCCATAAAACTGTTTAAGTCTTTAAATGCTATAGTCAGGGGTCGTGACCTTTCTCTTTGACTTATTTCTTTGAAACAGAAAAACATTACATACATATAAGCAAACACAAATGAAGTGATCTATTTATACAGAAAAGCGATAGAACTCCTCACACGCACAAACATTAACTGAGCACTAACATAACAGAGCTGTTCACTGATGAAACATATCTACACAAACTGAAGTTTCAAAACATTTATACGGAAAATTGCAAAAAAAAAAAAAAAGGAAAAAAAAATAGGGGAAGATATTACAATGAAGGATCAGCGAAGGATTCCACAGTTTCAAAAAAATTAAGACAAGCTGACTGAAATGCAACTGGGTTACTGAGGTAACAAGCATGCCCTGCTGACGGTATTCTCAAAAGCCTGAAAGAAAGATTAAAACAAGATGATTATATTTATCATTAGAAAAACTGCGCCGAAGACTTAATTTCACGTGCACTTAGATGGAAGTAGAAAATACACAGATCAAGAGAGAAAGAAATATTTTAAAAGCTTTGATTCAGCAAACAAATGTGCAAATTTTCAAAAGAAAAAAAAACTTACTTGGAATTGGGTAACCTGCTGAGACTAGAGGCTGCACTAGGTCCGAGACTGGTATCACTTTCACCCCAAATTACCAGCACTGACGTCCTAATACTTTCGGGGTTTATTGGCATTACATTTGTGTTCGATAGTGCAACTGCAACAACGCAAATTATCCGATTTGTTCCAAGTAATGGAACGATATACTGTCCGGCCATACTATGTCCAATAATTATGACCTGTAATAACAAAGAAGAGATAAATCGGATAAAAGCAATTCGATTATAGCATTTACAAAAACCAATTTTCGAAGAAACTAAACCAAAACAGCCTAATTTGGTTGAAGAGAGCAGCAAAAACTTGTCAGCAAACATTTTTGATCATAATATCCCTCTCCCCTTTCCTTCAGGAGAAAAAAATTACAGTTTCAAGCTCAAGGGCATGCATAGCAAGAGGAATTATCTCAGCTTTTTTGGAATCTGAAACTGTTGGTCCACCAGTTTTACCACAACCAGGCATATCAAACGCTAAACATCTGTATCCAGCAGCAGAGAATATCTGAAAGAGAATTAATAAGCTATATTAATATATAATTTTCCAACTTATTCATAGAAATAAATTGCTTTTAAGAAGCTTAAGACATTTTAGATGTAAGAAAAGTCATCAATAATCTAATATCTCAAAACGACCTGCATCGTGGAATTTTCCAACCATGTTGATGATGAAAATGACTGACCATGAATTAACAGAATTGTTCCTTTATAAATAACTTCTTGAGGGGGGACTGTTTCTCGGAAAAATATTTCGTATCCCTAGAAAGAACAATATTTCTGAGGAATACTGGAACTAACTAAAAAATTTTGTTCCTGGATGACTAACTGTTGTGTTAACCTCTACATAACAGTGAAACTATGTTTTAAAATAAAAAAATTACGTAAATCTGGTTCCACCGCCCAACAGACGGTGATTCCACATTCTTAAAGCAAAAAATGAGTATGCTTTCAGTCAAGTATAAATAAAGAAAATTTTGAACATAAAACGATTTTTTCTGCTCAACAAAATTCTGAAAGTTTTTTCTAGTTCATATCAGAAACCAAACATTCAAAAAACATTTGTGATGCACAAATAAGCATCAGGAAATTGACAAACAAGAAAAAGTGCCCACTGTATCAAAAAAAGGAAAAAAAAGTAATCTATACATAAAGAGAACCAGAAATATCTCTACTTTCGGATGGCGAATCCAAAGTGTAAATTTCGTTAAAATAAAAAAACTGACAATTCAGTCGACCTGTATCAAATTAAGTATCCACTTCTTTAAAATTCGCTAAACTCTTCCAAATAAAGCTTAAAAAACCATAGTAAAAAAAAACTTGGAAAACTTTCAAACAGGTTTGACGTGAAACTGATCATTAACATACCACGCATTACTTCAAGAAATCAAATTATGAAGTGGTAGGTTATGACAGCATTTACAAAAAGTATTTCCAACTCATTTCCCCAGAAATCTAATTGATTTAAAAGTTCACCAAAGGTAAAATATTCAATAAAAACTGATAGAGGTATGTATGAATGTATGCATAAGCCTTCATTTTATGTTCTGCTTCTCAGTACTGAAGGACAAATTAACCCAAACTTAATCACCAGTATCTATTTGGTTTTCGTCAATATTGAAATTGTTTAGAAAGCAGTAGAGCATGTACGCGCATAATGACAGAAAAAACTGATGGACGTCTTTTAGGCTTTACCCTCGAGATTCTTACACATATAAGCATAGGAACTTACCCCAGCAAGAAAAGTTCCTTCGGTTGGTCTGACTGTCTTTGAACGCCACAATACTCTGTTCGGAATCGGCTTTTGGATGTCAAGTGATCGTACGATAGAGTGTGCATAGGTATCCATAAACTAAGTTTAAGAATAACCCATAAGCCTTGCGGCTTTTCGTACCCTACCCATAAGCTTTACGGATTTTTGTAAGGCTTATGGGTTATTCTTAAACTTAGTTTATGGGTAGTTATTCACGCTCTACATTAAGTCATACCCATTATTTGATCATTAATGAAAATGAATTGGGGAAAACTCTTGATTAGATAAAGAAATAATACCGTCCAGGCAGTGTTCAGTAACATTACATCACATCATACAAACGGCGGTAAGCTGCACATTGATGGTCACCCTTATCTATAGGTTCTTTTTAGTTCCAAAATTAAACATAAATTAGGAACAGGACATTCAACCAAAATAAAAACCTCGGAAAAAAAAAAGTAGTGACAAACCACCCGTTGAGATTTTAGCAACACCTGGTGGAATGTCCTGTTTTGTTTCTAATTTCTTCTTGTCTTGTGGAACAGGAGCGCAAGCGCAACTAGATGTTACTCCTTCATAGCTCATTAATAACAAAAAGTAGCGGAGACATCCGAAAAAACGGCATAGCAGGTTTCTTGCAAATTATGTAAATAATTTTTTATTTCTCAAGATAATGGATAAATCACATAATTCCAATCCTTACAAACTCTGGATGAGGAAATCGCTTTCGCAATACAGTACTTGCTTTTTATGTGCAATTTACTTATAGTTCAAGCTGTTGAGGCAACAATACTTCCATGAATTTATCGGTCACGAGGTAACTGGAAGATCAGCAAATAATGAATTAACTCAATGCTTCATCAAATTTTTATTTTGCCTATCTAATAGATAGTCTTGTTACCCTAAAGTTCAAAGATTATCGTAACAGAACAAAAATTGGGCTCACATAAATTGCAGAGTAAAAAAAGATTAATTTCTAGATATTATGATTCCATCGCCACTTCCCTTTCATGTAATCAGGAGCATAAAGCAGTGAGGTACATGGATGCTGGCCTTGTATTTCACAAATACATTCCCTCTTACACTTTCTCCCAAATAATGACTGATCGGTCCTCAACATCTTCTCTAAACGTTCTCGCCTCAACGAAACTTTCGTTTTACCCAACGTTGTTCGAAACATTTCCTCAATTTCCTCGCGGGTTTTGCCTTCTAAATCGAACAACACTTCACGACCATCATCTGCAATACTCCATTTCATTCGGAAACACAATTCTGATGAATATTCTTCCTTAATCTTCCTATTCTTATCACAGTGTCAAGAATATTAAGTTACGTAATTCACTATCACAGACAACCCACTGCATGTAATAACAAAGAGTGCAATAAAAAAAAAATTAGAAATACGAATACTAAATTTGATAGTAGTATATAATGTCATTTTATGGGAAACCATGTTTTCAAAAACGATGGTCCCACAAAAATTGCGGGAATTTCTTAAAACTGACCTAAGAAAGCCTTCCCAAAGGGTACAATGCTAATGTTGGTGAACCGCACCAACTGAACATATGGATTATTGTACTGTAATTGAGCCCAGTGCCAGAAAACAAATTCTATAACACCTTTATGTCGTATGTCATCTCGTGGAAACTGCTTATAACCGATAGCAAATACCTGAAAATACACAGATCCACAAAATATTGGTAAAATGATAAAGTGAGCATTCCGAGATGACAGAAATCCCTCATAAAATTTGCACTGAACACACAAATGCTTAAGTAATTTAAAATGAAGAAAACCAACCTTTACACGGTCCCTGAATTGTATTGTACCTTGTTGAAGATATAAATACGTACGCCTTAACGGTACCGTGCCAAGCTTAAATGACATCAGAGACAAAGAGAGAGAGAAAGAGGGACAAAGAGAGAGCTAAAGCGTTTCTAGCACCGTCCAGGCAAGCACTCGAGAACGTTAGTACTGCACACACAGCCTTTAAATTGCAATATAGTAAATTTTGCTTTGCAACATGAACCTTCAACCAATACTGTTACTACAGTTAAGTCACGATATGCTATTCAATGTAGATTCCAAATTACGAAACTTTCATATAACAGTTCTTCCCACTGACATTTCCGTATTCGTGTAACCCGTTTACTCATATCAGCTGATAACATTTTTTTTTTAAATAACATATATAAAGAAGTTATGAAATAATATATGAAACAATATGAAACAAACAACTGGACAGTGCTGAAATAATTTTTTCCATTTCTTAATTAGTAAATATTAGAAAATTAGTAAAAAAAATATTTTCGTACAGATCTTAGCAAAGATATCTCATTAACAGTGGTAGCGATTAAATGACGCCAAACTCACAATGTATATTATTGAAACTTTAATCGAAATAATAAGACATTACTGACGATTTACACCATTAGAACAAATCAACAGCTAGAGC